TCGGTCCTGACATGAAATCCCCCCAAGGAATGTGAAATCCAAGCCACTGCCAATTTCTGAGCTCATCCCCGAGGCAACACCACTGCAATTCAAACCCAAACCATTGCAAGGGATCCGACTTTATAGGCTTGCACCGTCATTCGGCGCCTGTGGGCGAAAGGATGCGAAAGGGAAGGCTTTTGGCACTCTTCTTCAGCAGCTCCGCATGTTTGACTCCGGACCCGTCTTCTGAGACAACGCCAGGTTTGCATGCCACACATGCCGTCAGAACGGGCACCCTTCTCCAAGGAAAAAAGGGTGCCACTATGGTGCCACTATGGTGCCACTGTCCAGTCCCAGTTTCCATGGAGGTATTTTCTCCGGATAGAACTTCATCCTTCTGCCGGCATTGATACTTCTTGGGTAGCCCTTGGGTGGTAAATGGCGACCAAAAGTAAAACCACACTCATTTATTGCTTTTATCTCGTGTTGGGTCCCCAACAAAAAACTGACCCATTTTTGGTCGGGCCTAGATTTGACCTGGTTGCCCTTCCTACCCAGCCTCGGTGGTTGGCACCACCTTCTCCTCCGCCGCGTCGGGCGGGCCTTGGATCCGATCCCTCCGCACCATCGGTAAGCCGTCCGCCAGACCCATGGCAGCCGTCCGTGTGGCCTATTTCTTTGAGGGGCTAAACAAACTCGGTTGACCACTATATGATGTGCGCAAGAGTGGCCCATGTCACGAAATCACGGGCAGTCACTACATTCAAGCCCGTTCCCAGCTTGTTACACTGGATTCGGAGGCCATAGAGCCAAGCCCCTGGACCGGTCACTTTTGCAAGCAAACCAGGGACAAAAGACTAACCCTCCTCATCCCTCCTCCTTGGATGCTTGTTGCCACATTAGTGAGTGATTACCCATCTGGGTTGGGGCACTTCTAGTATAGGTGGGTTTTCACCTAGGCTGCTAACTTGACCGAACACCCAAGCAACAAGCCTCTGTGGGAAGATGCTTGCCCTTTTGGAAAGGAAGCCTGTGCCTGGCTGGCAAGACTGGGTGGTCAAAAAACGTCGACTTTGGGCAGGCGAGAGTACCACTGCCCAACATTCTCCATGGGCGTGTCAGATGCCAAGAAGCAATGCATTTGCCCCCTAGCAAGCAGACCAACACAGTGACTGCGGCCCAACACCGGAAACATATGGAAACTCACGAGCTTGGCATCAGGGAGTCCGCAAATCATGAAACAGCACAGTTCCACAAACGAGCATCTCATATGATCATATGTCCGACGCACATCCCCCACGCATGTGGCATTGCAAACTACACCAAGGTCAAACAAAACAACAAAACAAGCTGTTCAATAGCCAAGATCAGCTTGCTCTCCCAACTCCAACCCTACAACTGTCCAACTTGTTTGCCCCACATGTTTAGTTGAACACCCCCCCTCTCTCCCGGATAAGGTAGCGGCGAGGAGAAGACGCGCGTTCCTGACACCATCCCTTTTCAGGGCTCATCAAGTCCCTGGGCTCTTTGTGCAAGGCTTGCGCCAGCTTTCTTGATTGACGTCGGCAGGGGAGCAAAAAATTAAATTTCAGCAGTTAAGTGGGGATTTCCCACTAAACCACAATGAGCAAAAATGTTTTGAATGTTTCCCTACAACAACAATGCTTAGGGCATGAGGGCCTCACCGCAACAACCTGCGGCTCCCCGGCCCGTCAACTGAATCATGTCTGACTTTGCGGGAGCAGCGCACGGGTGTGAAGGCATTGCCAGTTGCAAGGGCAATGCTACGGGCGCCGCGGGCTTCAGGATGCCCAGGTGACTGGATCCGAGGGCCAACCGCACCATTCACTTCAAAGGGGACCCTCCTCTGGAGAACAAAGGCACGGGAAAACTGCGGGGATCGTATTCAAGAACCCTCACCCAATGGGTAGTGTCTGAAAAGAAGGGCTAGTCAACAGAATCTCACTTGCCAAAAGTAGCGTGGAAATAACAGGATAGCCTTTTGCGACGTTGACTTGTGGACCTAAAAACGGAACACCAACAGGTCAGAGGCTTGGGGCAGAGTGCAAAACCACCTCGGCCCGAGATGACAGCGTGTATCCCTTTTGGCGTCCGGTCCTCCAATCTCGCCCGCGTATTGGCCTCGCGGGGTCCCCTACTTGAGTCTTCGTTGACATGTGCGCTGGAACCCATGGATGAAACCATGAGTTAAGATTTGTCGATATGTACAGGGGAAGCATCATTCCGGGGTTTGTTAGGTGGTGCAGGGATGTGCAGGGTTTCGTCCACAGGGTTAACCCTGGCGGGTTGTAACCCATAGCCGCCTAACTTGGCGGCTCCAGGGAAGTCGGTGTCTGCGCCCATGGTATTTCCAAGAGCCCCGGGCGCCCTGGACCTTTTGAACCCTCCCTTGCTCCAGACCCCAGGGCTTCTTTGGAAAGACGCAGCTCTCACCTGTCGGAAAAGCAGGTTGAAGCCCGAAGACACCCAAATTTTGCCATTCACAATTTGTTGGCCGGTCGTGCTCTAGCTGGATATGCCGCAGACCTGAAGGATCCATAGGCCATGTTTTCACTACCTGCATGTGTACAACAAAATTCGAGCAAGCTTTTCCCCGTCTGGTCCACATGAGAAAATTTCTGTTGTTATTGAGCTTGCCTTAGGACACCTGCGCTATCATTGAACAAACGTGGCGCCCCAGCCAAACTCCATACGTCTTCCGCGCAAAGCAGCTGCCAACCAAGGCCACCTTAAATCAACAACTCGCACGATGCGAGCTTCATTCTCAAGGAGTACTATGCAAACAACGAATGTGATTAAGAATAGTGGTATTCCAAGATCTCTAGAGCTCCTACTTATGCTACAACTCCTAAGTCACTACGCCCAAAGTCGGACTAGAGTCAAGCTCAACAGGGTCGCCTTCCCCCGTTGATTTCCAAGCCCGTTCCCTTGGCTCGGTTTCGCTAGATAGTAGGTGAGGACGGTGGGAATCTTGCGAATCAATCCATGCGCGTCACAAATTAGATGACGAGGCATTTGGCTATCTGAAGAGAGTCATAGTTATCCAAAACAAGCCAGCAAATTGCCGGCACGCAAGGGCCATTAAAAGTCTAAAATTCTGAAATTGGGCTCACGACGCCCAACACAAAGCGATGCGCTTTGCGACAGCTCGATCTTCAGGGGACTCGAGAAAAAGTTCTGGCCAGGGCTGCCCTGTTTGCTACTCGCTGGGCCCCTCAAGTTACAGTTGGAGGTGGGAAACTGGGAAACCCTTTCAAACCACAATGGTGTTTTCAACAGGACTCAAGATGGGGCAAGGCCGGAGGTGTAAACGCACCGCTGAAAGGGACCATTTAAGTGATCGTCAAAAAGAAAGGCCTCTTTCTCACCTTTACTTGAATGCCGGAACACGGTGGTAGCCGGGTCCAAAAGAGAACCCCTTTGAGGATGCGGAACTGGCTTCTCCGCCTCGCCTTCTTTAGGCGCCGCCGTGGCGGCGCAACTTCCTGGCTCTCGGTGCCGTGACTTTCATCTGGCTTGTACTTCTCTTCGCCTGCCGAAGGGCGAAACCGCCGACGCCCGAAGCCGCCTCCCTGTGGTGAGGTTCTAAACCCAACACCCGGTTTCGGGGGGCTGATGAACCCCCCATTTACAGCCAGAAGCAAGCAGTGAGATCACCCTGTCATACCAAATGCATAGCAGATGTATGGTGACAGGGTTGAGTGAGTAACTGTTGGTGGATTGCAAACATCGCCTTAGTTCAAAATATCGGAAGTTCACGTTGGATCCTTCCAGTTGGGTCAACCCCTTGTTTAAATTTTATTAAACCACCATCGCTCAAGCAACCTCAGTTGGTTTATGTTTGGGGGGCCAGGGTCTGACTGCTCCAACTCGATTTGCCCAACCTTGGATCCTTCCAATTGGGCCCACTGGGAGCTAGGAGCCGGACTGGGAGCAGCCGCGCCTTTCTTTTTCGCGTCTGTTGATCCGCCCGACCTGGGCGAGTTCCATTCTTTCTGCCGCCAAAAAACGAAAGAAGAACTCCACACCTAGTTTCGGGAGCGGCTGCTCCAGAACAACAGCAGAGTTGAATCTATCGAAGTCATACTCCCCATTCCCGCAACGGAATCCTCCTCTATGGTTCCCTGCAAAAAGGCCATGGCAAGCAACTGAAAAAAAAAAACAAAACAAAAAAAAAACCTCCCTACTTGGGCATCCAACCGCCAAGCGGGCTTCACCGCTCCCCCCCCCTTCGCCCACCTCCCACTAATAACAGGATTAACTCCACTTAGGGTGACTTCTAAGTGGGTTACCACCTGGGTTGTCGCTCACCAACTTTCTAACTTGGCCAAACACAGCAAGAAGGCCACATCAGCGGTCTTATCTCCAGAAAAAAAAAAGAAAACAAACTGGGGGGTGGGTTTGGAGGCCGCCAGGAGGAGAAAAAAAGAAGAAGAAAAACAAACACGAGTATCCGGGGAGGCATGGATCCCATCTCGAGCTGGGCTCCGTGCCCCATGGCTTCCAGCCGGGCCGCCCCATAGACTCGATAAGCCAAGGCCGGCGGGAGTCCGGGTTCCGGTGGCCAGGAAACTGAGAGACCCAGTTTTTCCTCGGTTGCTTTCTGCTCCTCTGCTAAAAGTTTAACTCTTAGTGGTTTAATGGAAAACCCATTTGTTGGCAAACACCTAACATCCAAGCAAACTGCACCAACGTTTCCTTGCGCACCACAGCCAATTGGAGAGAGTTGAACAGGTTGGGGTTGCACAAACATGGTCCCTGGAGAATGACCCATCCGTTGCTTTCTGAAATCGAGTCAGCTGGGCATGTTTCGCGCCCAGCAAGGTGTCCTTCGGGACAATATAGACCAGATCAACAGTGAAACCAGCGTTGCTGCGACTGGCCCAAAGGCAAAGACCCGTGCTCTAGGACAACATGCTAACTGCCAAGCTGGGGGCACAATCCCAACACCAAACTTGCGGCGGCGCTCTTTTCTACACAACCGATGCTGCGAAACCTCAGAGCGGATGGATGTAGCCACAGTACTGCAGCACCTCAGCCAATACGAGACTCATATGGCCCAGGCTAAGAGGGCCCAAAATAGGATCTCCAACGAACAGGGTTTTCAGGTTGCAAGCCTACTTGTCCAAATGCGAAGACCTTTAACCGACTTCTCACGCCTGCAAGCGACTTGCCTGTCTCTCCTTGTCGTCTTTACCTTGGAACCTGCCAGCACGCAAGTTTCTACGTAGATGCGCCCCGACTGTGGCCGGCGCCTGCAGGAGCCTGGCCAAGTCCAAATTGCTGATACTCCACGGGGACTCCACTGGTGCAGCTGGCGGGTGGGGAGCAAACTGTGTGGGATGCACTGGCCACTCTTTGCATACTCAGTGTGTGTGTGTGTGTGGTGAGGGGAGGCAACTCCGCGAATCTGTGCGTCCTAAAGCCTCTCTGCCGTGACCGCGATGCCTCGCCAAGCTCGGCCAGCTGCACTTGGAAGCAGCAAGCAGCTCCTAGCACGTGGCCCGGGCATAGCTGGCTATGGCCTGCCGACTGTGGAGCATACATGCATGGCCAAGCCCTGCCCATGCAGAAGTTTCTGGGACCCGTTGAAAAGAAATAGCAGTGGCAATCAAAGAAGCAAACCTGTTGGATGACCAGCTGTGAAGCCATGATTTGCAAGCACTTGACTGCTCCAGCTCGCTGAATGCTGCCTCTTCAGCCTGCCTGACGTGTGCAGGAAATAACTGCCTGCAAGGACGGGGAGTTGCATGCAACAGCTTCATTGGCACCTTGGGCAACAGCTCCGCAAATGGCAAGTCTAACCTGCAATCCTCACATCTGGGCCTTCCTCATGGCTCCAAGCACATTTGGGCCGCTGAATGCAAGGGGAACATCTGTCACATACACCGGACAAAACCCAGAATAGGCCTCAAAAAAGGGCACAAGGAAGGTATGTCGGATGGGTTCTTGCATGCAGGAAAGTCAGAAGTCACTTCCATAAAGTGGGCTCAATTGCCCCTACATGCTGGTTTAAAAGTTTAAAGTGAAACGCCCAAATCATTTTAGCAACCCCTCAGAATGCTTTAAGAGGCCTAGCCAAACCCAGGGTCGGACAAAGCGCTCCGGGTCCTTGGCAGTAAGCTCGCCTAAGCCAACAAGGTGGCAAACATGACAATTCCCTTCCCCCCGGTGGGATCCCAGCGATTTTTCCGCTTGGTTTTTACAGGGTGGCTCCCTTGACTACCTAAAAACAGGTAAATGGATCGACTAAGCAAGCCAGCGGCTTTAGGGCAAGTATCGTGAAACATGTTCACGGAGGGGCGTCCGCTCGCTTCTTCGACGTCCTGGAGCATGATTTTCGTATCACATGGGGTGAGTGGAGCAAATGGTGCCCAAATTCAACAGCGGCCCGCTTCAAACATAGCCACGGGCCCCTGGAAATCTGCTCCAAACCACTCCGGAGCCTTGGCTTTCTTTGGCAAATCCCTGGCACAAGGAACCAACGGGGAACCAACGAGAAACCAACGAGGCAACTGAGGCCCGGGCGTTGGGCGCTCGCTTGCCTTGCGAGCCAGGCGAGGGCCGGCTGCAGCTTTTTGGGCGCCAGCAAAGACACCCGCAGCCAGGAGCCCACGTCCTGCAACTGGCGACTTCAGCGAACTTTGTGGATCGTGTGTTTGCGTTTGCTAGGGTCTGCTTGGGGGGGGGGACAATTTCAATGCAACGCGCTCGCCTATATGGCAAGCTTGGTCACAGGAGAGTTGCATTGCTCGATTATCTCGGGGTATCTCGAGGTAAACTTAAACGCAGGGATTGCCTAGTTACCCACCACTAACTTGACAGCCTCCACGTTTGACACATGCATGGAAGTAACAAGCACACAACAAACAAGCACACACACACACACAAAAAAAAATAATAAAATATGACAGTAATAATGAGAATAATGATAGCACTAAGAATAATAATAGTAAAAGTAATAATGAAACAAACACATCAACACACAAACGCACAAACACACAAACAAACAACTAACCAATCAGCCAAACAAACAAACCAAAACAAACAAACAAACAAACAAACAAACAAACAAGCAAGCAAGCAAGCAAACAAACAAAACAACACACAAACAACCCAGCGCACCCAAACATATACTGCACAGCAGGCCTCATATTCAGACATGCACACGCATCTGTAGCATGCCCATGCACATCCGCAGCCAGCCGATGGGACTGAAACCGCGATCCTCGTTGCCGAAGTTCAGATGCAAGGCGAAGCACTTGGTGTTTTGCAGCTCCTCCTGCTGGGTCCCAAGGATTCCATCAGCTTCCCTCTAGTTTTCTGGCTTGGATCGCTTGGACTGGTTTGTGGATTGGACTGATGTTTCTCTAGTTGCTGGCTTGGATGGCTTGGAGTTCAACTCTGTTGAGACACATCCGAACGCGACAAGTGAACAAGTCCGGGTTGGGTGGCTGCTAATTGTCTCAAACATTTTGGCAGGCCGTCAAATGTCAATGCTCCATATGCAGGAGGCCCTCAAAGGGCCCCAACTGCAGTCAAATGAGCTCTGCTCCAAATTGGCAGCGAAGCTGGCTAGGACATTTCAGCAGCGCAAATAGTGCAGGTCCGGATTCAGGATGTCCATGACATCCCAGGAATCAGGGTCGTTTGGTTGCCGTGGCAGAGGCGGGCTTTGCGGAAGTACGACTCAAGTGTGACTTACCCTTTAAACTTTAAGCGTACTTTCACAGCTGGCCACCAAACACCTCTGAAAACTTGTGCAAGTCGCAGTCTCGCAGGGTTAGTCCCAGGTCCGAAGGCGGCAGCCATCGATACCCATGGCCCCACTTCGTAGGAAGCGGTGAAAATGGTAGTGATCTCAACAGGGCCAACGGTCGTCCCTTTTGAAAGACCTTTGATTTAGCCGGCTCTTGCACGATGGGCCCAAATTCCAGTACACCTACTTTGCCCCAGCCTGAGCTTGTTTTTAATCGGTCAGGTGGATTGTCAAAAGCTTGCTGAAACGGCAACTGGCGTACTTTGCTCCAGTCGGCAAGCGGCTCACAGTCTCTAATCCACTCTTGGCAATGCGTACGGCGCGTTCTGGTCCGCGTCGTTTTCAGTCCATGCAACTTGAGCGCTGCCAGCTAGCGAGCCAGCGAGCCCACCTCCTCCAACGGCCTCACGCAACCATCTCTTTGCCTCTATTCCTCACAGGCGTCCTCAGGTGTGTAGCCATAACGGTCCTTTTGGTGCATGTTGGCGCCAAGCTGCAGCAAGCAATCCATAACTTCCACCAGCCTGGCACAGTCCCCATGGCAGCCCAATGTAAAGGAGTGCGTTGATCTTTATCAAGAAGATTTGGATCAACCGGCTCCTCCAAGTAGAGCAATATTTTTTCTAGGTCGCCGGCACCTGCGGCTTTGCAAATTTCCAGCTCCCTGCCGCGAACGTCGGCATAAGGCCTCACGATGACGGAAAACGGCCCCACTGCGTCCCAGCTGCCAGACGTCGATGCACCACTCGCACTGAGGATGCGAAGCTGCCTGAAATTGGAAAGGCCGCGCCGCTGGGCTACCTCCCGCCTCAGCTGATCCACAAAGCTTGCCCCAGCTCTCCGAGCGCCAAGCTGATCTTGGAGCCATGCAGCAAGTTCCTCCGCACTCATGACCTCTTCACCGCCAATCGCCATGATGACTGCCATCGCCAGAAATTGCGGGGGCAAGTCGGAGTTTGTGAGGGAGCCCCCCCAGATACAAACATGGAACAGTGCTTGAGCCAGTTCACTCCTGCGGAGCTGCGCGATGGAAGGCATTGGGCCAACAAGTTCAAACAAGCGACTCCAAAAGGGCATAGAATGAAAACCAGCGGCCTCCCCACAAAAGCCGGGCCCCCATTGATCGGGCCAATTTTGGGTAACCCCCATGGATTGCTTGAAACTCGTGCCACCTGACACCTGGCTCCCAAAAGGAATCGATGTTTTTCAGGGGGCCCTGTAGTACCAACCTTCCAAGATCCAAAAAGCACACCAAGACAAAGAAGCTCCCTTTAAAGACAATATAGGACACTCTGTTTTTGGTGTGGAAAAACATGTGAGATACAAGTTGGCACCTGTCGGAAACTTTTGACTACAACCCGTTGATCGGCTCTCCGGAATAGAAAGGACTAGTGTCGGACCTGCAAAACCCAGATGTCGCATGGTTACTTGGAGGCTCACCCTGCTTAGTAAGTGTTTAAGGCTGATAGAGCATTTACGTATGTGTTGCATCATGAGTTACAACCATTGCAAATATAGTTATAGATGGTGTACACGTAGCAATCTATTTAGGCTACTTGATAACTGCGCCGAGCCATTTGCTATGCGTTATAATCACTTGTGCTTGTTTACCCAGCTTATAAGTAGATAACCGCGTAGATGTGCGAGTGGCCCATTGTGGATAACACACTTGTGTATCTGAGTTGGGCCACTTACGCTATCTTGGCTAAGTGCATTTGTGGGTATGCCATCCCCCCAAAATTCCCACCACCTTCTGCATGTTCGTGCACTTTGCACAGCTGGGCGAATGTTTTTGCTGTCCACACAGACACAGGTTTCACCTGGTGCGAGATTGAGAAACGCAGCAGTGAGCTTGCAACATGCTAAATGTGAGCACGGCAAGTCTGCATGTCTTACCTGGAAGTATGCATCGTTGCAAGTTGGCATGCGTTGAAGAACAGTTTGGGAATGGGCTTCACGTGCTTGATTTTGTGCAGAGAATGTTTTTAACGGATCATGGCTTGCACTTTTGGAGCATGAGTCGCGCCACCCGGCTTGCACTCTGCGGCCTTTGCGTGGATCAATTTCAAGACATAGCTCGCAAGCAGGGCACTAGACGCACTTGCTCGTTTGCAGAGCTCTTCATTGCCGCACGGCATGGTCCTGAGCGCCGATCTCCGTCACGCGGTGCAGGCGAAGCTCAAAGATGCGGCCGACGGCGACCGCCTGGTCAAAGCCGTTGACGACATCATGAGCATGCTTCGCACTGAGGGGCATGTTTGTACTCAAAGGCTTCCTCCGCAACAAGTCGGGGTGCACCCTTGTAACCGAGACGGCCTAGGACTGAGCAGCGCAGACGTGCACTCGTTGCTCGATGAAATCATTGACGTCGGCTTCGTGGCGAGCCGTGTCCATGCGGTGGCAGTCGAGATTGCGGACGACTCGGTCCGGAAGTGGAACGAGGAACTCGTGCATGCCTCGGCGAAGCTCGGCGCGCTCCAGGGCGACAAGCTGAAGGCCGTCTCCCTCTCGGCGTCTCACACGAACTTTGCCCTGCGCCTGCTTGCGCAGGAGGTGGAGCACGAGAGCGACCTCGTGTCGGTGCAAGGCAAGCTGAGCATGGCGCGCCTGCAACAGCGGGATCGCGCTTTCTACGAGGCAGCCTTGCACGGACTGGAGTGGAGCGTCATCAGCAAGGACGTGGCCGAGGCCTTCCCAGAGCTCCTGCACTATGTCCAGACGCAAGGGAATGCCACGCTCAGCCGCGGGGAGCACGAACTCCAAGTGGTTCGGCGGCTGCACACGCTGTGGCTGCAGGCGGACGCCACTGGGAATGTCGACTTTGGCGTCATCAAGAAGCGGACATTGGCATCGAAGCCTGGGTGCGCAAAGAGCGTGCCACACCTTTACACCTTTGCCCTCAAGTGTGCAGGGGGGCGCTCGGCGGTGTTCTTGCAGGAGACGGAGAACTTCGTCAGGGCGCATGCTCCGTCCTCTCGCATGTTAGGCCCTGACATCTGGGAGATTCTCTCTCAGGACGCCCGTGGACCGGCCCAGAATGTCTTGTTCAGGCATGCGTTGGTGAAGCTGGCCTACATCCGCGACACGCTCACCGCCCAAGAGGCACGTAAAGCCTTCACCAAGGCTGTGTGGGGCAAAGCCAGCGAGGCTGACGTCATTATGCAGGAATGGCGTCGGATCGTGCGCGAGCAGTGTGACCTGCAGAAGGACCACCGGATCGTGGCAGCCATGGGCTATGCGGATGTTGCGCTGGCTGCCATGGTGCTGAACGTGAAGGTGCACGGGGAGCGCAAGTACGAGACTATGCAGGGGATGGCCCATGGCTTTGTCACGATGCTCCGCACGATTGCTGGCAATGCTGCCATCCGGTCCCCGTGGGAAGAGTTTGAAGAGGCTTGCCCGCCAAGCAGCTCTGCCTCACAGCCATTGAAAGACAAGCACATCATGCGCGAGCTCAACACGGATGGCAGTGTCAAGCCACATGAGGATCGTCTCCTGGAGGCTGGCTTCGAAATGGGCCAAAGTGTTCGGCGAAAGCCGGACATGTTGGAAGGCAAGCTTGTGGGGCTGAAGGATGGCAAGGTCCGTGTGGAGCTCATTGAGAACGGGCTGGTGGCCAAGATACTGATCGACGACTTCCTGAGCGGGGCTTGGCACAAGTTCACGCCCAGGGCGCAGCCGCAGCTGATTGAGAACCCTGCGAAGTACCATCCCAGCCACTTCCCGGAGTGGCTTGCCTTCAACATGAAGGCGCGCATCACCTCAGAGATCGCGGAGGCAGTGTGCCGGTACGGAGCTGACCACTGGGACAAGCTCAACATCCAAGTCAAGCCAAGCAAGCTCGTGCTGTGCAAGTCAGCCATCCCAAAGCACAAGCTCATGTTGGCTCCTGCGTCCCTCAACTTGCGCCACAAGTTCACGCCCCCTGAGGGGCCACCCCCCTTCATGGTCGAGACGGCATTCCCGGGCGAGTGCTACTTTTGGATTGCGCCGACCGTTGTCCAGCCCAAGGCCGAAGATGACGGTGGCTTCCTGAACCCCTTCTGGTTCGTGGGCACGTCGCACGAGGAAGCTGACTGCAACATGGAGGTTGTCTACAAGTCTGTGAACAAGGACTCGGGCATCAAGTTGCCCATGCTCCGCAACAAGGAGGCCTTAAGCGAGGGCGACCGCCTGGTGCTGTTCAAGGACAGGGCTGCAGCCCCGGAGCCTGCAGCCTTGGAGATGACGCCTCCCAAGCGCCGGGGCACGGCGAGCGAAGAGCTCGGGCAGAGCCTAAGAAGCGGCTCAGGATGAAGGGGCATTGATCATGTCCGTGTCTCGGGCCGCCAACGTGCTAAATTTTGAACTCCTTGGTTTTTCCACATGTGTGCAAGACCCTTATGCATGATCCCTTGACACCATGGCACGTTGGCTTGATCGAAGTAGAAACCTCCACTCACGGCGCTGCAAGAACTTGAAACAGGTTGCGCCAAGGCATGTTTGACATGGTCCATCCATTTGCCCACGCCAGATTGAGAGAGCTTGTTGCTTTTGCACGCACGTTGTATATTTTGCGTGAGTCGTGGCACACACATGTTCTGTCCGCAAAGCAGGGCCTGCAGGGCTCGCTGAGCAGATGCAGGGCTTTTGAAGTTTCGTGAGACTTGACTGCATGTTTGTGATAGATTGGCTCGCTATAGTGCACTTCAGCAATCTTGGAAGTTTCTATAGAGTCATGTCGCTGGAGCTGGAGAACCTGATCGTTGTCCGCTACAAGGACACTCCTGATGCCAAGCGCACAAATGAGTGGGTGCCCAAGCAAAAGCTGGAGCATGAGAAGCATTGGTTGTGCTTCTCAAAGTGGGACCGGCATTTCGTTCGCTTCTGCAGCGGCAAGTCGTTGGACCTTCGGGCGGGCAAGCCCTCCGCCACGGTGGACACACAGTTCATGGATGAGGTGTTTGCTGCGAGGCAGAGTGCCTGCAACCTGGCTGTGCAAGAGGCGTTGCGTGTCAGCGACGACGAAGCCGACAATGGGCCGAGACGTAAGGTGGCTCGCAAGGGCTTCAAGGCCACTGCAAAGCACGCCACTGTGGCGCCGCACGCCATTGAGGTCACTCTCCCCCAGGTAGGCTCGCTCCCGCCACGCAAAGCGTGGGCGCTGTTTGAGGGGATCGGTACCGGCACGTTCTGGCTTGAGCTGACTAGCCCAAACCTAGAGCATCTCCGGGAAGGCGCCCAAACGTCGCCGGCAATTGTTAAGTCAAGAGGGTCTGCCAGCAAAGGCCGAGCCGGCAAGCCCAAGCCTGAGGCGGGCCCACCTGAAGCGGCAGAAGCTGAAGACTCCGTCCAAAGCGAGTCTGATTGATTGGGTGCTTCTCCGGAAAAGAACGCACCTTTTACGGGGGGCAAAGAATATGCTTGCTGCCCAAGCCCTGTTTCAGCGAGCTCCTGCAGTGGGTGCGTTCTCGACATGCTTGTGACCGTATATACAGAATGATGGATGTGACGGTCAGCCGGATCTCTATCAACACAGCACGCAAATCTGCCTTGATCACAAAAGAAAGGATTGAACATGAGTGAACACATGATGACCTTCCCCACCTTTCCCCCCATTTTGGGTTGACACCGCTGAGATCAACGCCGCGCCGGCCGTGGCTCGCAAGTCTTTTTTGTTTTTTTTTCTTTTCTGCGCGGGCGCACTAGGGCAGCCATGCCCTGGGTGGATTTCTACATTCCTGACCTGGAAGAGGCTGTTTCTTCCACCCCCCCAAGCCGCATCGCTTCCATGCACAGGAGAACGATGAGTTTGCGGCTTTCGAGCTGTGCGGCCTCTTGGAGGGCATGACCCAGGCTGCCTGCGTCTTTCACACATCAGGATGCCATCCCAGCCCTTCGTCAGGTGGACACAAGCCGGTGGGTGAACGACAAGAGCAAGCTCACGTGGCACCACACGAAGTGCTGGCGCATCATGCATGCAGGCGCTGAGACCATGGCATGCCAACTGCATGAAGAAACAGTTCAGACATGCTTGTACGTCAGGTGGCACGATCTTCAGGAACCTGAAGAAGAGCGAGATCCCTCCACGGAAAGGAGCGCCTCCGCTTGTCGGTGATTCTCTCACACTTGCTGCGTACAGGCTGGGAGTACATGGACAAGAGGCAGAGGTGGCAGCCATCTGGCATGAGGGTGGAGGCCTGCGCTCCTCAATGTTCTTCGTAGCACTGCTGCACATGCTGCAAACCCTTGCCCTGCTTGCAGTTCACCAGCCCGCCGGCTGACGACCTTGCAGGCGAGCAGCAGGAGGAGGACATCACACGCCTTCACATCATGTTGCAACATGTTTCGCCCCTTGTTTGCAGGAGGCGCCCATCAAGGAGCCCGAGCAAGAGCAGGAAGAGGAGGAGGAGGAGGAGGGGGCTCATTGGGAGTCTTCAGATTTGAATATCGCTACTGCTATAGGAAGATTTCATGGAGGCCACACCGGAGGCCTGGACATGACAGTGCAACCTTTCGAATCAGCCCACCAGCAAAACTGGTCATGTGTGCTTTGTTGCCATTGCAGGAGCGACGTGAGATGAAGAGGTTGCCGTACAAGGCCCGTGCAAAACTGCAGTAATTCAGCAAGCATGTCCCCGCAAGGCCATGCCGCCCCAGCCGCCTCCTCGTGTCAAAGCCACGAGCTCAGCACGCTCAGCGCGGGTTGAAAGCTTTCAAAAAGCAAGTCTTTGAAAGCTCAGCTTTTTTTTCCAGGGAGCTTCCGCTTTACAGGCTTGAACATGCATGGTTGCCGCGTGTTGAGGGCCGGACAGCTCCAAAGACCGCTTTTGGACCACCTCTGAAGAGGACGAAGAAGGCCCGGTCAGTCCTTCCCACAACATGCTGGGGCTCTCGTGCAATCCTTCAGGATCTGCCGGCATCACGGAAGTCGAAGAGCCCACGCGCCGCAGAGAAGAAGGCACGACCTCGCTCCGAGTTCGCCGGCTTGCGTGTGTGCAGGTGTCATTTGATGCGTCCTTGAATCTGGCAAGTGTGATGACAACAGTTGTTGTGGAAGCAAGTTTGCACAAATTTGCGGTGCGTCGCCTTTGTGTTGGCAGAGCTTGCGCAGGCTTTGGATCACGCGCCACCGCCCCCACCGCCGCCGCCGGCACCCGTTGAACAATGGGTGCCGCGCCCTCCGCCTGTACCAGCCCAGCAGGCGTGTTACACGGGCTGACATAGATGGCAAATGTGCTGTGTTGCAGCGACGTGTGAGGTGGTTCGCGTCCATCGAGAGTCAGCCTCACGGAGTGTGGCCGGGCCTGGAGTTCCGGTCAGCCACAGCCTGAGCTTGACTTCGGACACATGCCAGAGCTGCCAGACTGGTTGCACGCCCCACGCTGCAGGTGAGCTGCGACCTGATGGCTCTGGCAGGGGCTTTTACTTCGGGAACAGGCGCTGGGCTTTGATTCGTGCAAGGTCGACCACAAAGCATGTTGCAATCTTGTGAACATTCGTGTTGCATGTGCTAGTCATGAGATTGAGCCATCCCATGCTTGGAATGTCCTCCCACCTCTGTCCTCGCAGCCGTGGCTGTCAGGTTCATGGACGCCAACGGCGAGTGGTGGGAGCCGTGGGCTTGGAATCGTGGCGCGGAACGGTTGTGTTGTGACCCGGCCTGGTTGAGGCCGGGACTTGGTCGAAGCCGTGCACGCACACGCGGCGGAGCTGCAAGGTCGACAGTCAACAAGGCCTTGGACGTTGTGCCTCGACAGCACAGCACTTGCCCGCTGTCATCTGATTGTTTTGCTTTGATTGTTGCATGAAGGATTGATCTGCATCCCAGGCGATGAAGATGGCGGACACGTGTCATTTTGCTGTGGTGCGGGCCTCCGGGGTTGTCACGCAAAAGCAGACAATTGATACGCGCGTTAAGAATCCTTAAGGCGCGCATCAATTTTCAGCTCGTTCTGCATGTTGTGTGGGCATATGATTGAATTGAAGATGGAGTTGTTTGAGAGTTGCATTGCTTTAGGCTGGGCACATGGCTTCATCTTCGCGCCCGCCGAGCAGTGGGTGAGACCATAGCCGGTGGGGAATTTGGGAGGGCCCAGCCGCTGAGGTTGGTAGTGACAAGAAATAACATTACATTCAACATTCAACATGTTTGATGCGTTGATGGATGTGTAGATCTTCAGCCTATGTGAGAGCGGTTTCGATGTCAATGGGATTCTGGGTTGGTTTCTGATGTTGACATCCTTCTGGCTGGTTGATCTCATGCATTGGGGAAACCCTCATTTTTATAGATCTATAAAAATTCTAGACTTGGAGCCCCCCAATTTTTATAGATCTATAAAAATTCTAGACTGGTAGCCCCCCATGTTTATAGATCTATAAAAAGGATAAGGCTAGAGCCCCTCATTTTTACAGATCTATAAAATTTATCAGGCTGTAGCATCCATATTTTATAGATCTATATAAATGTAGCACTGTTCAACCACATGTGGGTAGATCTACCAGGGTTTCCTTTTGTACCATTTCATGCCTCTCTCACTCAACATTCACTGGATCTGATTCTTGATGGATACTGGCCAACCCTGTTAATTTGTATCAATTGTATATTGACTAGCTGGCTTGTCCAAGGTTTGTGATGTGAAACAAGTTTGAGGAGCACTCATATGTAGGTGACAATGAATTGGTTGGGCCTTCCATCGGATAAGCGCTTAGGCTGTCTGGTGGGCTTTAAGGTAACCTTGAAAACCCTTGGGTACAGCTTGGTAGCCCCTGCTAAGTGAAGCCATCATGGGGAAGCTCACCAGACAGTGTTTGCTCGTGCAGCCACATCGACGCATTACAAGGGAGCACACATGAACACATTGCAAAGGCAACACGCTTCAAAGACAACACACCTCAAAACAAGGGGCACACACCACACTTCATGTCAGCAGCATGCAGCAGTGCACGCGAGAGCCGAACCGCACGCAGAGCCGCCAGCGCGAAAAGGTACGTGACTACACCAGTGTTTTAATTCTTCGTCGATGGGATTAAGGGACACCACGTGCCACGTTTTGTTTTGATTCAGGGTGATTTTGCCGAGAAAGTGTGACGAATATCTCCTGCCAGCTTTGAACTCCATGAACAAACAACATGTCCACTCGCTTAAAAGTATACTGGATGTCATGTGTCTTTGTGTGTGGTGTGGAACAGCAGGTGACAGGCGCACATGATTCACGAGACTTTGTCAAGTTTGTTGTTGAACCCTCCGATGTATTCCACCCGCTTCACCAACATGTTAGACCCAGCCCCGACCCGCCAACTGGTGAGAGTGCCAG